TTAGACCGCTTAGAGCAAATGTAGGTACCTCCACGAGATTGCTAAAAAAAGAGTATAGCATGATGAAAAAGATGCCAAACTTTATGAAAACAAAATTTTCTTGTTTAAATGTTTGTTATTATTAAGAGGAAAGATCAAAGTATTTTGGGGGTATTTTTTTCCATTTTTTTAATCGTTCCTAGCATGTCCGAAATTTTCGTTAAAAATCTTGTTTTTTTTGGGTCCGCAAAATTGACCATTTTTTTCCATTTTATAAAAAAACTGGAAATCTCACTTTGGAATTCTTTTAAATATCAATTATCATTTTTTCAAAACTTATTTTAAGAAAATCAGAAATTATAATGTTTATTTAAAATATTTTGAATCAAGCTTAACTTAGCTTTTGCGCCGAAAAGATGTAATTTGAAAATAAAACAAAGCAGGTCATAAACTTTCGCGCCACTTGACAGGGGATGAATGACATATTGACGGATTCTGTGAGGCTAATTTGTTCTACAGAAGGAGAAAAGTGAAATAATTTACATTTAAGTGAACAAATTATTGACCTCGTTATTTTTAAGGAAAACTTTCAAACTCTCTTTTTTTTTGTTTTTAGCTTTCAGCTTTAATTTACGTTTACGATGCTTTATGGAAAATATATTCTAAAGAAATTAAAATAAGACTGTTAACAGTGACATTAAATTTCATATTTCATAAGAAAGGTATCTAATTAATTTATGAAATTTTATCAGAAGTGTACATAAAAATATCTAATTAATTTATGAAATTTTATCAGAAGTGTACATAAAATACTAAAATTTTATGTACATTTATTACATTTTACTGTGTTATTTGTATTTCCATTCATTTTATTATTAATTTTGATATTTCATTTATGGAAAAATGTCATAACTGAGATTAATATAAATTTCATAAGATGATACTGATACTTGTAGGTACCCTTCTCAGTTGAAATTGAAAAATCAAATTAACTTCTCCACACATGTTTTGCAAAAGTGAAGAACAATGCTTAACTCAAATAACGTAACTCAATTGTATTCTGGTTGGTCTTCCATACTTTATAATTACAGCCCAATTATAAATGCAAAATCACATTTTTTAATTACTGTGGATCTTCTGATTAGTCAAAATGATACAATTTACAACATGCTAAAAAAAAGATCTATCTCATAAGGAGACTTAGGAAACCCAAAGCAGCTTTTAACTAATTTTATAATATTTTAACAACTTAAATGTAAAAATCTATTATAATTAAGAAATAACAAATAATTGTATTAAAAATTCATTTTTCATTGAAAAATTTTTTTGCTTTCAGAAAATATTGTCCATATTCATAAAAACAACTAAAAGTAAATAAAAGCATTTGAAATTAAATGATATCTTTGTTTTATTGAGTTTTGTATGTTACAATTCAGAGATGATTTTCAGGTAGGGGGGTCCAATAAAAAAAAAAAAAAACATGATTTGCATTCCTCAAAGCCTTGTGCTTTTAACTATTGTAATGACTAAACCCGATGTGATTGAATTTCTAGCGTTTTCATAAAATTAATTGGGTGGGGGGGGGTAATAAATATTTTAAAAAATATTTCTGCCATGACTTTAATAAAAAAAAAAAAACATATTTATAATAATTTCGATCCTCTGTGAATAGTTCCTGAAAGTTTCATTAACATCCGACAATTATTTATATTTTTGCAAGATTTTCCAAATTAATGTGTTGTACCAAAAAAAACATGCTAAAAGTTGTCTGTTATTTACTAGTTTTGCTGATACAAAGAGAAACAAGGTTTTTTTTAATCAAAATTTAGAATGTTTTAAAAAAAAGGAAAAATTTTAAAAAATAATTAAAAAAAACAAACTTTGGTCTTTCCTCTTAATAATAACATAAGCATTTAGACGATAAAATTTTGTTTTCAGCAAGGTTGGCATCTTTTTCATCAAGCTATGCTCTTTTTTTTTAGCAATTTCATGGAGGTACCTAGCAAATAGGCATGTCAAGTAAAATGAACTACAGTGAATGTGTGCAGATTTTTCTACAGGATTGAACGTTTGTTTGGAAACAATTACCCTCTGCCAAGTCCTGAAGATATATTTACAAAATTAAATGGTGGCAAAGTGTTTTCAAAACTTGATTTGTCTGAGGTGTACCTCCTGATTCCTGTCGATGAAAAATGTGCTAAGTATTTAACTATAAATACACAAGAAATGTGTTGGTATTACAAGAATTCTTGGATGTTTTTTGGCTGAATATGAACAAAGAAACAGAAAAAATGTAAAATCATACAGAGGCCGTGCAATAGTGGCAAAGGTGCCACCAGTGAAATTTACCTCTTGGGCAAGTCTGCATATAGATTTTTCAGGTCCAATGAAGGGACAATATTATTTAATTGTGGTTGATAGTTTCTTGAAATGTCCAGAGGTGACGAAATGTAAAATCCCTGATACAATTTTTGCATGTACTCTTTGCCAGGTTTGATGTCCCAGATATTGTGTCAGACAGTGGCACACAATTCAGAGCAAAAAAGTTCAGAGACTTTTGTAAAGTTTTTTCGCTTGTACACATCACTACCACACCATATCACCTGCAATCTAATGGTTAGCCAGAAAGATTTCTAGACACTTTCAAGTGAGCATTAAAAAAGTCAGACAGAAATGAATCCATTGATGATATCCTAGAATTTTTAAGGGTACATTGTGTGACACCGAACCCGAGTACTAATTTGGGGTTGTCACATGCAGAGTTAATGTCTGTGAGTATAAAATAAGATCTGTGTTCAATAAACTGTTGCTAAAGGGGAATAAAAAAAAAACAAAAAAACAGATACAAAGTCCTATATACCAGGAGAAAAATTTTTTTTCAAAGAGTATAGAAACGGGAAAGAAATTTGGAATGCTGGTATCATTGATAAACACATCAGGAGATTAATGTATAGAATTAAAGACTTGAAAAAGACTATTAAGAAGCATCACAACCAGATAAGGAAAAAGTACTTGGAGGATATAAATAACCAGAAAGTAGAACTGATAAAGGTTATTTATGATTTATTTGATGCACTGATGCCCTGAGTAGCCCTCAAGGAGAAACTTTGAGTAAATGAAGAAGAAAATTCACAGGGACTGTAGAGATAAACCTGAAAAGGAAAAAAGTATGACTTTCAGAAGAAGTAGTCAATTCAAAAAACGGGGATGTTGTGGAGTAGCTGAACACCCCTACAAGATGAACTGGTCTAAAACTATTTAAACAGCACTCTCTCTTACTGAGGGAGAGGAGTTAATGATTAACTGTTTATTAAATTAGTCTGTGATCTCAACTGTGTACAATATTATTCTCTGGAATAAACTACTTCTTACTTTCCATATGTGTATCAACCTTTCCTATTTATGACATAACATTTTCATAACTGTTAGATATTTTTTTTTTGGTATGGAAGATAGGAAAAAGTTCTGAATCTCCTCCGTCTTGGCAGATTAATATCTTGATAATGAGTTTCATTAGTTCCCCTCACTGCCTTTAGTTTAAGAAGTTTTAAAATCAGAATAATTATACCATCTTCATTGGATGAAATATTTTATGACATGACATCAAGCAGTTAAGAAAATATTCTAAAAATAAAAGCAATTAATTAACCTCAGAAGCATCATTTAACTAGTTTTTAATTAATTTCTTTTTTTTATACTCTTAATGTAGTATTAAAAATAAAATTTATTCTACTAATTTTCATTATATTATAATTATATTCTTAAACTATTGGATATATAATGTTAAAGATAATTATTTTTAAATATAAACAATACCAATTTCCTGATTGAATTGGCTGCTGGTGTTCCATATTTAATGTTTTTTTATTTTTTAAGAGTCAGGGATTGCATCAGAAAATGCTGTTGTTAACCTATGACATCACATACTACCATGTATAAATAAACATTATTTTCATAATGTTTTTAGCAAAAAGTAAGCATTATTTTGACAAAAATTCAGATAATTAATTTTTAAATTTACTAAATAACTTTGAAACACATCTCTAGGCAAATATTGGACTTTTAAGAGATTTTTATATTTGTTCTTTACATTTTTGCCGATGATAGGGGTTCAATGAGTGGACATGAGAATGTTTTAAAAAATGTCTAAAAACTTAATTTACATATGGAAATTTATTTTTCTTTCCATACAAATTAACTTTAAACTATTATCTTTCAAATAAAACTAAAATTTTACTAAAAAGAGGGCATTTAAATTATATTAAATGCATTTTTAAGTTTTTTTAGTTCAAATTTTGGTGGTACCTACTAATTTTGTATCCATAACTATGTTGTAGCTTTTGTTTCTCATAGTGCAAACAAATGTTTATTAAAATTTTAAAACACTATTAAAATTTATATCCTTTGAATAAAAAGAAATTCGATAAATCTACATAGAAGAAAATGATCAAGTATTAAGAAGCAACTTAAAATTCAATTCCGTTTTTTGTTTTTATTTATAACTCAATAAAATTGATTATCAGGGTCAGTTTTTCTCTTGGTGTCACTGGACACACACTATTCCTTTACACAGAAAGAGTGGTTAAAATCAAATTTTAAATACAATTTAGTATATATTGTATATTTAGTATATATTGTTTTCCTGTATATAGATGTCATTAACCTTATTTTGTGAAAGTTATTATGATATCAAGGAGAATGAGTCTGATATGTTCTTTTTCTCATAGTGAACTGTATTGATAGTTTGAAGTTTACATGATTTAACAGTGTTTGTGCATCCTCATGGTGAGACCAGAGTTTGAAGATATTTTCTTATATAAAACCCAAATTGTTAACCTTAATGGATGTTGTTCATTTTAGGATCAGTTCAAAATATTTTACATTTCTTATATTTTCAGATATGAAAACAAGATCAGTTTAGAATGTAGAGATCCTATCGGTCACTATATCTGTAGATTAAGTTTGTATCATTATTTGCCATTCTACATTTTATCGCTTTAAATGTTACTTTTCTTTTTCAGGGAAAAGTTTAATAGATTAGCCTTTCAGCCTGTTATTATGGCTGCTGGTACTGGGTCAAGAATGACTGACTTAACTGCAAGCATTCCAAAAGCTTTACTAACTGTGGGAAACAAACCCATGATTTGGTATTCGATCCACATGTGTCAAAGGGTAGGATTCCAAGGTAAGTTTTACTTTTCATACAAATTGCATAAATCAGTAATGTTTACTCATCTGAAATCATAACTCTCAAATATTGTGTTATTCTCCAAGAAATTTTACCAAAACCATTCATCATTGTAATTAAATGTGTGTGAAAATTCAACACAGTTTATTGCAATGAAACAAGAAATTATTTGATTAGATAATTTTTAAAATATGCGACATTAGAAATTGTATTGTTTAATTATATAAGAAGAATGAAAGTTGAAGAGAGAAGTAGCTACATACTAAATTACTCTTAAAGAAAGGAACATTGTTCCTTTTGATGATAACTTACATGAAGAAACAAAAGAATAACTAATAATAACTTCTTAATGACTAGACATGACCTTTCACTGCTGTACATTTTCATTATATTTGACATTTCTTGCATTTATTAATGACCAATTTGTTATTGGGAATATATTTCCACTTCTCAAATCAATGACCATTTTTCTTATCTGCTTATAATTTAATTGTGAATAAAATTGTGAAATGTAATTTGATGTGGCGGACATGAGACAGAACCTGGGACGAGCACAACTGGTCGTGACTTGCCTTGTCCCCACCAAAAAAGAGCCCGTATTTGCTTAGCATGTAAAGCTACTGCAGTTGAAATGAGGGAGAAAGAAGCACTTACCGCTCTGCCGTAATCCAACCTCGGCCAGATAACATAAAAGAATGAGGGGGGACTTGCATTGCATTTTTATGCAATAAAGATGCAATGCATTATGGGACATGGACGCAATGAGCTATGGGATCACATGAAGACGCAAGGGATTATGGGTATATGTATAAAATATAAAAGCAACTACTTTTTTCCCCCAGGGGGGGCAGTTCTTCGAGTGACGTTCACGGTTGGTGGCAAGAACAGTCTGTTAGTGTGATTTTGAGACAGAACTCAAGAAGGAACGACTCAAGGTTGAAATACCAGCTGGGAGAGCTTGAATTTACTTGCTGGTTGCTGTTTTTCTTTATTCGCCTCATTTGACAACCACAACATTTTTTTTTCTTTTCTTTTTTTTGTGAAGAAATCTAATTAGTACAATTTTTTTTTTTCAAATTTCAGATGTAATTGTAATTGTACTTGAATCAAAACGGACCCAAATAGAAAAGGCACTGAAAATTCCTGGAGATATTAGCATAAAAATTGACTTTGTTGGTATTCCTGATGATGAATATAGTGGTACTGCTGACTCTTTGCGACGTATCAAAAACAAAATTAAGGTATGTCATCAATTAATATAATTTTTCTTGTTGCATTTGTGTAATGTTTTTATTTCTTTCCTTGTTCCAAATATGAAATCATTTGTCTCATTTTAAGTTTTTATTTTTGCATTCTTCTCATCCATATTTACTAAAAAGCTTTACTACATGCAGTTAACCAAATAGGAGTCATTGCCATAGAAGTGATTCTCTTGTTAATTAGGTTCAAGTATTTAAGTACTGATTATATCGTAGATATGCATGTGGTGTAAAGGATTGTGGCTTGGAATGAGAATTTGGAGAGAATTCCGACTGAGTTCATTACATTCACTTACATGCAAATACCTTTGGGAATGGTATGAATCCATCTTTTCTCCTCCATCTTCCAGCAAGCGTAAGACCCTGGATGCATTGGCTTATGAAAACACACAGTGACTGAAATTCTTCAGTTGTGTGAGTTGTGCATTCTGCAGCAGTTGGAGAAAGTGTTTCTTTTCTCTTTTTTTTTTTTTTAACTTTTATATTAGAAATTATTTTCATAGGGATATAATCAAGGCTACTACGTGAGTATGCTAGTCCTAAAATAATAACTTACAATTATTGAGAAAACTTTTAGCAAGTAGTTTGTTAGTGATATCCAATAATTACCTAATTAACACCTATACTTAATACTTGTAATTAATTATTCTTTCTTATTGATCAGAAAGCAAAGTAAATGTACCTTCATAAACTGGATAGAAAATGAATTTGACTTTTATGAAAAAACATTAAAAATAGTTTAGGGGAGATAAACAATAATTTTGATAATTGGAATTTTTATTTTGTAATCTTTTGTCATATTTATAGTTGGAAATTTCATAAACATTATTTGCTTTTTATTTCATGGAATATGAACAAAATACTTATTAACATGCTAAAATTTTAAGACAGTTTCAAAACTGGTTCCTTGGTTGCTTTAGAAGACACAAACAAACAATTTTTGAAAATATATTTGATAATATGTTCTATTTTAATATTTTGCAAATGAACATACAGACATTTGTTAAAGAATTTTTGCAATCCTTTAATTTGATAACATTAAACACCAGAAAACGGAAAAATATTGACTGAACTGTGTTATCCAGTGGAAATTTTTTAAATCACCATGATCTATTTCTTTAAAAAATCTCCACTCTTGACAATAAAAAAATTGTATCATCAAATATTTTCTTTCTGGGACAATCTTCTTGTGTAATATCGCCTGTTACATAAAAACGTGACATTTTAATATCTTTGAGCAGACAAGTTTGTAGGTCAGGGCGGCGATCAAATGTTTGGTATCACTTTATTCAACAAATATCTACCTTTTGAACAAAATGTCCTGGATCAAAGTTATATTCTTTTAACATCACCTATCAATTGAAGAAGTAAATTAGTATGTCTTCTAGTATGAAATTTCTTAATGTTTTGTACTGTAATAAAATATGTACTATCAGAACCATGTCTTAATTTAACATTCATTTTCAAGATACTATGTTAAATGTTTTTAACAGTGAAATTAAACCCACATGTTAAGTAAATACATACAAAAATCAATCAAACAATTTCATGAATACCAAAACTATACCAAATATTGAACATTGCTTAGTTATGTTAGGAAAAGTCACACATACTTGAGAAGCAAAAGCACAAAATAAAAAATAAAAATTTAATTGTCAAAATCCATATCATTATCTAAGAACAAACATAAGAGAAAAATATAAGATTCATTTTGTGACAAAATTCATAACAACTGGACAATGTTTATAAATTTGGAACTGTAAAAAGTTTGATTTTTCTTTCAATAAATATAAAATTGTGTACATTGCAATATCAAAGAAAATAATTGAATATACTTAACTTCAATGTTTATAATAAACTTATTTAAGAAAATCTAATGTAAGTATAAAAGAGAAAATTTATAAATTTGAATAAAGTAAAATTTTCAAGGTTAAAATTTCTTTTCAAAATCGACAAAACTTTAAACAAGTATTTCTTCCATTTAAACACATGAGTGGTGTGGTTGAAGGTGGTTAGTATTGTCTTGGATATAGTTCAGTAATCATAAAAGAAACATGCATATGTGCTGCTTGAAGTATGAAGGTTGATCTGTAAGTAATGCTTCATATATTATGATGTTGATGTTATGGGATGGAAATAGAAGTTGATTGTTTTCATTAATAACTTGTATTTTTTTTTTTTTTTTAACTTGTTACAGAGAACAACTGTACAATGAACAAAGTCTCTTTTCACTTTCTTATTTTATATTTGGATTTATTCTGATATATTTATTATATATTTTCTTTTTGTAATAAAACTTTTTGTATCTTATTGTCAGTATAAATATAAAAAGTTATATTTTTAAGTAGCATATTAGAAAAGAAAATATATTTACTTTAGTACCAAAATTTTTAAATGTATATCATGATTTAGTTAAGAATGGGAAATTTTTACAAATTGTTCTCATGATTTGAACAGTGTTTAAACTGCTTTTTTTAAGTAGAGAATGAAAAGAATGGTAAAGAAAATTTCAAAATTAATTTGAATGTTTTAAATTCATAAACAAATCTTTTATGCTTAAAAAACCAGTACTAAAATAATTGTAATAATTTATTTTTAAATCAAACATTTGTAAATAAAATTTTGTAGTTTGTAATTGTTAGATATAATAAGTTTCTTTTTATTGTTACATTTTCAGAGTGATATATTGGTTATATCATCAGATCTGATTACAGACATGAAAATGGAGCACATGATTGAGTCATTCATGGCCTATGATGCAGATGTTGGTGTGCTGTTATCCCCACTACCAAAAGCATTTAATGAAACTCAGGCACCTGGAGTGAAAGTGAAAAAACAAAAAGGTTAGATATAATCATAATTGATTTTAGTTTATTTATTTTTTTAAATTTGATCAAATACATTTTGGTCATTCTTTAGTTTCTTTAATATTATAAAATACTTTTGACATATTTGGTCAATTTACTTTATTTATACCAATAAAAATATTTTATACTATTATGAGTATTCTATATATATATATATATATATATATATATATATATATACACACACACACATATAAATAAAGATAAGAAATAGAACTAATGACCAAAACTAGATGAGTCAAAAGATTTTGTTGTTTATGTATATTTTAATGTGCATACTGGTTGTACAGCATTTAAACATTACATTCTTTTTAATACTGTACATTAAGAAATTCCAGATGCTTTTATAAAAAGTAAACAAAAAAAATTTTTAAGAAATGTAAAAGATTATTCTTGCATTTTTAGAATATACAATGCTCATGTAAATCTTGTCAACATTGAAACAACTTTCAATAAAGTAATTTATAATTTTATTACTTTAATATTCTATAATCAAAATTTATATTAATGATCATTCTTTTTATTTTTGCTAATTTAGTAATTAATTCATTGAAATATATCTTGTTGTTTTCAATATATACTGAAATTTTCTTTTTCTTTCAGAAAAAGACATTGTTGGTTTGGATAAAAATGAACGGCGTTTGTTGTTTTATTCCAACGAAGCTGATTTTGAAGATGACATAACTCTCAAAAACTCATTTTTGAAGAAGTAAACTTTTTTCCTGTTTTCAATTCTTTCATTATATATATATATATATATATATATATATATATAATACATACACACACACACACACACACACACAGGTGTTAATGCGCAAAAAATTTATTTTAAATTATGTATGCTTTGTTACAACCAAAGGTATAAATCTATGGCTTCCCAGCTATAGGTTAAATAGTAGGTCAGACTGAGCTCTTTACAGTCTAGGAGAAAGATAACTCTGAATTCAAAACCTGATGTGGGCTGTTTGGAGACCTTGTGACACACTTTGCACCAGTTCTCTGTATCCATTTATTTTAAAAAATAGAGCAGACTTTGCTCTTCATCCTTGGTTGACAAATAGTCTAGGAGAAGGACAACTCTGAATTAAAAACTGTATGTTGCCCTGGCAAAGCACATATGCAGCTATCACAATGACTATGATCTTGACTGCAGTTGATCTGATGCTAATGATGATTGGTATATATCAGAAATTACAAAGTAAATTCTTCCTTAATATCAAAGAAGAAAGAGAAAATAAATCTGTCTGGTGAAACAAAATATCCTTGACTGATATGAGTGCTTTACAGTTGTAACATTGTTAAGATTATGATGAAAACTATTTTATTTATTTAGAAGTTAAAGCATGAAAAATTAATGAATATACCATATATATATATATATATATATATATATATATATAGAGAGAGAGAGAGACAAACTGATAAAGTGATTTCTTTTTGGGGGTGCATGTGCACTCTTGGTTTGCTTAACCACAAGACTTCTTGCACTGTCGAATAGAAATTGACTTTATGAAAAATTTGGTGGCTGGAGGGAAGTAAGACAGCATTGTGATTATGATGTACCGAGGACTGAAAGCAACTTAGTTTTGGTGAATTTACCTTATGATTTTTGACTTGTATCAAAGAATTGTTTTTGTCAACAAAAGGTTTTGCAACAACAGTTTTGTTTTAATAATATAAATTTAATCCATAAGAATGGGGTAAGCTAAACTCTTGACATTAATGAACAGATAATCAAAAAAATGAAAAGAACATGGTATCCTATGCAAAAAATGGTTGAGTGAGACTTGTAATTATAACACAAATCTGTTGTATATGTTTTCATCTAGCTTAAAATGATAATACAATGGTCATTTTATTGAAATATCAAAATGTTTGTTTATATATTACACAGTTGATGGATTGTTTTGTTTTCTGATGCAGATGTCCATTTGTAAAACTAAGGAATGATTTGACTGACTGCCATATGTATTTTCTAAAAAAGTGGATTTTTGATTTTCTTTTAGATAAAAAGTAAGTGATATCACAATTTCCTCAATATATCTGTCTTTTTTCTCAATCTATTTATTGCTGAAGTTTTACACACTTTAATAAAAAAATATGCACTTTATCTTTTGCCTATCTAAATATCCATGCCGAATTAAATTTAATGCATTAAAATCTGTTCAAAATTACTTGATAGTTTGTCAGCAGGTTTAATTTTTAGTTTTGAATAACATCAAAATGGATATTTTTTTCACTAACATAAAGCCATTTTTCTTGTTTCCCCATTTACTTGTTTTTGTTACACATTCAGTTCAAAAATGCATACAGAATGCAATCTTGACAAATCCTGACAAAATTGTTTTTATATATATTATTTTAAAATAAAACTTATTTGTATAGTGTTATTACATCAGTTATTTATCTGAAAATAATGGAAAAATTTATTTTTTTTATTATGGAAGCCACAAAGCAGCTCATGCAAAGAATGAAACCATTATTGATTTCTTTTATTTTTCTATTTTTACAATTTATAACTGATAAAATTTTACATTTTCACTTAATTTTTTTATTTTTTTTTTCAGGAGCATGAGTACTTTAAAAGGAGATTTGATTCCTTATCTAATTAATAAGCAGTTTGTGAAACCACCACAGTTAGAGAAAAAAGATAATCCATATTCAACTGACAGTATGGAAATTGGGTCATATATGTCAGATGTTCAAAAGAAAGGTATAAAACTAATACTTTGTATTTTGTACAATATTAACAATGTTTCCTATTGCAGTATGTGATTCATGTCAAGCAATATCAGAGGTTGGAATCAAATTTAAGATCAATCTATTTTCTGCTTAACGACCTATCGACCACTATAAGGCCAGCTAAAGGTTTTGAATCATGGTTGTTTTGGGTATAGCTTAATGTTATATGTGGAACAGTGATAGTTTTGGGTACAGGTTAGTTGGTGAAAGTTTTTTTTTTTTTTAATTTTTAAATCAGTTATTAGAGATACTGGTTTATAATACAAATTATTTTTTCTGTTTCTGATACAAGTTGGTTATTAGTGTTTGCATTGTTATTTTAGTAGGGATCTTTATGAAGTCTGAAAAGTTTTTTCTTTTTTTTCAGTTTTCGAAATATATCAAAAGTTTTGTGGAAATTTGTTGGAAGGTTTTATAAATTTTATATTTTGGTATAAGGTATGATTTCCTTTAAGAAGTTAAAAATATTGTTTTGTTTTTTAGTGTTTTCAAAGAGTTCTTTTGTATTGTTTGCTTGATAATATTTTGTTTGGGTTTGACTGTGATGATGGCAACTTATCAGTTAATAGTTGACTATGAGAGGTACTTGACATCTGTTACATGATGGGGGTGTTTCATTTTTTAGTAGATGTATGTCCTATTTGTAGTTTGGATAAAATTATTTGCTCCTGTCTTATTTTACTGAAGCAGGAGGAAATAATTTTTTCAATCAGGAACCTTTGATCTGTGTTGACCCTAATATGTACTGGGTTCATTTTAAGAGATACCAAAATAAGCTTTGTACTCATTGTTACATCAGAACATCAAGAACTAGGTGTCTCAGAGGGTGGACCTTGAAGCTGACCAAGTGCAGAATTAGACCTCAAAGGATGTCAGTGATTGTCAAATTATGAACAGGAAGTCAATACAGCTGAACTTAAGATATACACACACAAGGTAACTGAATGACAGGAAATTATATTAAAGCCCAGTCCACAGGAAGAAAGAGAGTTCTTTGTCACATGAGAAGATTGAATGTTTGAAGAAAGTCTCCAAAAAACCACATACCGATTACCAACATTAATTTAACAGTCCAGAAGTAAATAAACAGTTATTTTCTCTTTGAAACATTTAGTCTCCTATTCTTATCAGATGTTACTAACAATCTTATGCTATTTTTAATTGATAAAAGTACTTGCTTTATAATAAAGAACTCATTTATACTATTTAAAATCCCTGAATCCAGATATAATAAAGATCCATAAATACATAATGATTTAAAACAGTGCGAAACAGACTGTGCCAATGACCTAAATGCAGAAAGATTGTTTGATATAAAACAATAATACTGCATGTCCATGCTTAAAGTTGTTGATAGCTTTTTGAGAAGTTTAACTCTTCTTCTATGTGCTGTGTCTCATCAGGATATACATGATCATGGCTCTCCAAAATCTCCTGTCCTTTGTAACTTTTAATAAATTTTGTTTTTTTGTTATTTTTCCTAAACCTTATTCCACCATCCATTTACTCACACACACTAAATAAGTTAATGTGTTGTTTTACCTTTGTCCCTCTTAGTTGGCTTCAAACTGTCCTGTGGATAAGATTTTCCAATCCTTCTTTCCTCATCATGTGCCCTACAAATTTCAACTATCTCTTCTTGATGTTAAGTATGTTTCCTTTTTCTCTAAAACTTTGCTATTGTTCACATGTTCAGTCCATAGTATCCTCAGTATCCTCCTGTAAAACCAGGTTTATGCTGCCTCAAATCTCTTCATCTGTGAGGAGATTGTCCAGCATTCACTGCCATATAGGAAAACCGGTATTACATAATTCAGCACTCTTTTCTTTATTTCTAAGGAAATTTTCCTGTTTCTTAATACTTTGCTGAGATTTTGGAAGGCATCCTTGGCTATCCCAATGCCTCTTCAGATTTCAATGTTGCACTTTCCATCCTCTGTTAAAACACTTCCCAGATATTTAAATTTTTTGTACTTGTTTGATTTTGGTATCTCTGATATGTAATTTGCAAGTTGGGCTCATCCTTTTGCTAACAACCATGCATTTCATCTTTTTGCAGTTGATGTTTAGCCCTTTCTTCTTGCTTTTCTTCACTACCTTCTGTAGGAGTTCTTTCTTGTAGTTTCTTTACCATATCTTTTATCAGCACTTTTACCATTAGCTCAATGATATAAACTAGAGTTAAGTTCCTATGGCTATAGCTATCTATATTTTATACCATTTTGAGTGATTCTTGAAATGCTGAAACTAAACATAACTTGGTACAAAGGTTTTGTTTTCAGCACTGGAACCCTTTTTTCATTTGGTCATCACATTAACTTAAAGCTTTCATTTGTATAGCGAGTAGCAGACATGGAAAATTATATCATTGCATGTTTAGGTCTTTCCTCATTTTTCATTTTGTCACTTCTATTACTAGTCAGTTTTGCATTAGCTAAAAAGAAAAAATATACTTTGGGCATGTGCTTAAATTATTTCTTTTTTTTTATTTCTAACATTACAACTTTTTTTAACAGATATTCCCATGTATACAGCTTGTCCATTATTGAATCTCTACATTTAATATAGCTAGTCTTAGCAAAAAGTTTCACACAAGGTTATTTTTCTGTTCTAGAGATGCTCACACATTTTTCCCTTGTTAATTAATGATTTGTTTTACAGTGTTTATATTTATGAAAGGTTTCACAAGAATGCTCTACATTCGGATCAGGTGAGAAACTTGTACTCATTCAACAATGTGAATATTACATAAATATGAGTTAATATGTAAATATTTATTTGTAGCAAAAAAACTTATGCAATGTTATTTTAGTGGTCTGGGAATGTTTACAAATGTTTCCTATATGAATTAATAATAATTGTGTCTTTGTTTTATGCCATTTATGCTTATTGCTTATGAAAGGTTTCATGGACATTCTCTACTTTTGGATCTGGATAGATACCTGTACTCGTGAATCAATATTAGATAAATAAATACAAGTTGATATGTATATAAATTTTAAGTTGCATCAAATCAATTTCTGTATTTATTCAAGTTATTGAATGATATTATTTTAAATGTTTTAACTTCATATCAAAGTTTTCCAAGCAATGAAAAATTTTCTTTTTGCTTCCACATTTGTCTGTGTCCTTTGAAAATGGTAACATTTTATTATAAAAACAAAACAATTTTGTGAAATAAAGCTTTCAATCAGTGTAATTGTTCTTCAATATAAAGTGTAATTTAAATCATATAGTAATACAGGTTTATAAAAATGTTGCAAAAATTCTTTTCACATTCCTTTGCATTTGATTGATTTTTAGATCAAATATAATTTTTTTCAGAACATGTGATGTAAAAAAAAAAAAAAAAGCATTACAATAACCCAAATCAAAATTAATGATGAAAATAAGATTGAAATTTATTTTAGAGATATTTAACAAATGTTATTGATTTTTTGACAAACTATATTAGCTATTGCTTAACAAATGTTACATTTTACAAGTACAATGAAAACAACTGTTGCTATAGTATGTAGTAATGTTTAAATTTACTTGATGTTAACTATATTTAAATGTTAAAAATCCTAAAAATAATTACCAGGCTGATAAAAATGGCCTTTTGCATTACGCTGTTATTCGAACATAGGAAAATGATGATAATCAGTTTTTGCATATGAATAGTAATATCAGAAGAATATTTTCTTTGAATTTTTGTTGTATTTTCAGATATTTTTAGTTACATCCCCGCTGACATAATGGCTGAAGCAAAGAAATTATCACTCAGTTCTTCCCGTCCAGATAATTACTTAATTCATGATGAGAAAATCCTTTGTTTGGCTTATATACAAAATTCTGGTTTCTGTGTCAGAACAAATACAATAGCCAATTATGCTGAAGCAAATAAACAGGTAATGTTTTCTTGCTGTTTATTTGCAATTAGAAGTTAAAATTGTAATAATAATTTCTTTTTGAGAGCACAAGATATTTAAGCAGATTTATGTATGACTGACATTTTAAAAACATCTTCATTAAAGTCAGTTATTATAGAATGAAAATAAAAATTGGTTTTGCTTATATTTTTTATTTTACTATGTTTTAAAAGAAAATTTTATTGAGTGACATAAAAAAAAAAAAAAAAAAAGAATTTCTTATTAATTCTCTATATTTTAAGAGATTGGTGAAAAGCTCTTAGCCAAAACAACAATGGGTTACAAAATACATTCTGATGTTTAGTCATTAGCCAGATTTTGGGAAAATAAGTTGCATTTTATCTACAATATCTGCAAATTATATACAACAGTGGTGATATACTGGAAAACATAAGTAGATCCATTTTTATAGCACTGCCTAAGAAGCCAGGTGCAAATGAATGTAAACTCAATCAGACAATCAGCCTAATTGGCCATATAACAAAACTTATCTGAATTTTGATGAATAAAGTATACAGCAAAATTAGAAAAACAAGATCAGGGTGGGTTTGTTGAAGACACTGGAACAAGGAATGCAATATTTATGCTCAGAATGATATCAGAAAGAGCAATACAAACGTAGAAGGATGTGTACCTGTGTTTTATAGATTATTCAAAAGCGTTTGATAAACCGTTGGAACTGCTAGAGAACCTGGACATATTTGGAAAGGATATTAGAATAATCCAGAACCTATACTGGCAGCAAACTGTCTGCATACAGATAGAAAATGAATCTAGTGAATATACAAAAAAATAGAAAGGGGTGTAAGACAAGGATGTGTCTTCTCACTTGACTTATTCAATCTATACAGTAAGGCAATTCTGAGAGAATTAGAAGTCCTACCAGGATTCATTATTGGTGGCCACAATCTTAATGATATATGCAGATGATACAGTGTTGATAGCATATCCAGAAAGAAAACTACAAGAACTCCTAGAGAGAGGAAAGAAGAAAGGACAAAACACCAATTGAAAAAAGATGTAATGCATGGTTGTCAGCAAAAGGAACAGCCCAACAGGCAAATTACAAATTGGGGATACCAAAATCAAACAAGTACAACAATTTAAATATCTGGAAAGTGTTTTAACAGAGGACAGAAAGTGCAACACCAAAATCTGAATAGTAAAAGTTGCCCTCCAAAAACTAAGGAAGGTTTTAAGAAACAGGAAAATTTCATGGGAAACAAAGAAAAGGGTACTGAACTGTTACATTATATCAGTCTTCCTATATGGCAGTGAATGCTGGACAATCTCCTTACAGATGAAGAAGATACTTGAGGCAACAAAAATGTGGTTCTACAGGATGATGGAGAGAATATCATGGATGTGAGCAACAACAAAATGGAAACGAAAAGGACCCTTATAGTTAACATCAGAAAGAGATAATTGAAATTTCCATGACACATAATGCGGTAAGAGGATTTGGAAAATGTTCACAGGACAGCTTCAAGGCAAAAGTAATAGAGGAAAACAACATGTAACTTACATAGTGAGCTTCAATAAATGGTCATCAGAACAGGGTTTAGGAGAGATGACAAAATTTATTAAGAGGTATGAAGGACAGGAAATTGTGGAGAGCCAGCATCCTGGTGAGACATGTCACATAGAATATCTTCAAATTACTTGATTTCACATGAAAAACTTTTTAGAATTTAAATCTGGTTTTGTTAGTTTTAAGTAATAGAATTATATTAATTGTAGTTGTTATATGTTAGTGTTCATGTTTGATCTTTACATAGACCAGTAGCTATTTGAAATACAATGTAGAGAAAAATTGATTTTCTTTATCAGATTTAGTTTCCAGAATTTAAAATTTTTTACTGATAATTTTACTTTATATATTTTCCTATTTTTAAAATATCAGTGAATGAAATAATTTAAAATAAATCATTTTTTATTAAACTTCACCTGATATTTCACTCACTCACTCATATATGATAATTTCTCAGAGTTTCTTAAAAATAATTGTAATTTCTGAATAACAAAGATCTGATTTTATTTTATTTCCTTTTTTTTCTTCAGATTTATGATCACTTTGAGGCTTTGGCACCAGATCTGAAAATACAAAGGGTTCCTAAAGCATATGAAAATTTAAAGACCGTATGTTTTTCTTTTTTTTTTCTTAATATATAATTTTACTAGTTTTAGTTGCACTAAACTTAAATTACCTTTGTGCTTGTGATTGACAAATCTCTGCTCATGTTAATGTGATCATATAAAACAGATGAAAATTTACAATTGAAAAATTTATATTTTGCATTTAAGGATTCAGTCAGTGTAAGAAAAATTTTTGTCTCTTGAATTTATTAATTGATCTAATTGGAGTGTTGACAAAAGTTATGAGAAAACAAAAGCAGTTAAATCGAAAGAAAAAATGACTAAATGTGACATACACCTGTACCAGATTGGAAAATACATCAACTAAACCATATAGATAAAAATAAAAATTAACAGTCGTAATAATTTATAGATCAAAGTGTGGTCTGTGAATTTGGTGGCATAGTAATTGCTGGGTAATACAGACTTAGACGGCATGGTAACACCTGTTAGGGTCCCAACTATGGGCAAATAGTTAACCCCCAAACTGGGATCAAAACACTATGAAAGTATAAAAATAGATTTTTATAGTAAAAATACCAGCAATACAGTTTTGGGAAAAAAAAATATTACCGGCAGTACATTTGACTCTTGACAAAAACTGTCTTTACAAAAATACATCAATTAAACCTGATCTATAAACTGATTTCTTACAACGAATACATATTCTATTCATACAAAACCTATCCTAAAAATTTTGTTGGCATTGAAGTTGATATGCTGTAAAACAAAATAAACCAAACCAAACTTAGATTTGGTGGAAACGGGACAAGCAATAACTGAGCAGTACTAAAAAGACTAAGATATCTCTAGGCGTGGACAATCTACTCTTGTAGATTAAATAAAAGGCTCAGTTTGAAATTCCCTGACAGTTGTCCTGATTGACAAATATCTGAAGGCATGATGAAATGTGATAGCAACAAAAATGAGGTTGTAAATAATGATAGCTCCTCATTCCAGAAATTCATATTGAGATTTATGGATTACTTGTGTAATGTTTTTATGAGTAGACTTTTCACTAAAGCTTATTAGACTTGATATGTGTTTATTTCACTGGGTCCTCTTAAAATCAGCAAGGAAGAACTTCAAGTTTAATTGGTTAAAATGGGAATTGTGTTCTTAAACAAATTTTCTGTGAAGCATATAGTTCTTGAAAACAGCACACAAATATTTTTATTTGATATATTTTATCGAAAGTTTAGTCACAAGGCTCAAAATCATTACTCTCTAAATATACACAAATATTCCTTTAAGATCATTGTCTTAAGATTACAGATTTGTTGATCGCTACACTGTTAGATTATCCAGTTCAGTTTTCACAAGAAAATTGGTAATATTTTCAAGATATATTTATATGTGTAATATAACATGTGAGTTTGGACTTATTAAAAATATATTGGTGATTACTATGGGTTTGTCAAATTTTATTATGCAAACAAACTATGAAATACATTTTTATTTATAAGTTCAAGATACAGACTGTAGAAACATATATTTAATTAATATGTCATTTATCTGAATAAACTTTTATTATTTTGCATATTGATATGGGTTCTATAACCGTCATCAGTCTTTTAACTATTTATTTTTGTTAACTTGCAGTAGTTTTCATTGCTTTTCAGAGACCTTGGCTTGAATATTGTTTTCTGTTTTCTATTAGATTAATATCTGGTGTCTTTGAAGCCTTTTGGCAATGCAGACAGTAGTCATCTTTGCAGAATATTGAGGAGTCTTGTCTTTTTTGCTTGAAGTTTTTTGGTTGTGACATGTATCATTTTAAAAAACATCTTGTTCAAGAACTTAATTCTCTGCACTTACCTTAACACCATCATCAACTATGAAGAGACCTATAATTTTATTGCCTATAACACTAGCCCAAAACATTACTCTACACCACTATTGTTTTCTAAGTCATGTTGGTTGTTCTATTTCCATGAAGGACCCAATATCTCGACCAGCCATCAGGTCCACCTAATATATTTGTATATTCCTCAATAAAAATGACTTGAGAATTCAATTTTCATGCACTTTGTCCATTTTGTACATTTCTTTTTGTGATCTTTACTTGAAGATAGTATTGTCACTTTCATGGTTTTAATCAATGTTCTTAATATTTGGAAAAGTTGATTTCAACAGAGAAGAAATCAACTTTTCCAAATATTTTCTTACTGGTTAATTTAATTTTCTTGCTTATTACTTTTAAAAAATTTTCTCAAATCTCCTTTTCTCATATTCTTAAGCTATTTTCTTTTGTTCTTATCATGCTAATATTTTCAATTTCTTGAGTGATCATGGGCTAACATTTTTTTTTACAATTTCCAAAATTGCATTCCCATCACTTAACAATATCTTGTTACTCTTTTTAGATTATACCTTTTTTTACAGCCTATGGTTATGTTTATTTATCTGAAATGATAAAATATCAATAATTATACATGGTGTGCTGAACAATCTTCTAGTTGTATATTATTAAAATCTCATATTACCAATTAGGTTATTGTATTTCTAATAAAAACATAAGCTTAATTTAAGTGGTATAATTATTTTATAAATATAGCTTAAAAGTTTTACCAATATCAGTTGGCCAATTCCACTTTTATTACAAAAACATTGTCAAATTTTATCATACAAATCAAAGTGTATTTTCTCTAGCCTGTTCTAAATTGTAGAATCTAAATTATTTGTTTCTCACAATAACTTGCCCCCTCTTCTGTATATCTCTGACTATTTCACTTTAGTACATGTCTTAGGATGATATCACTTACTCTGTAAAATTTGCTTATAAACTATAATTACTTTCCTTTATAATTTAATTTTAACATTATTAAAGCATATTGAAGTTTTATTTTGACTGTTATTTCCAGTATTATTTTTCACACTATTTTGATCTACAAGATGTATGCGTTATTTTTCTTATAATTGCAAATTGAACTTATTTCAGTTGAAGTTTGAAACAAAATGAAAGCTATAATAATACTCAATGCAATAAAAAGATATATTTAAAAAGTGGAAAAGGAAATTAAACAAAAATACAGCCACAGTAAATGGCAATATGGGGAGAAAAAAATCATTACAAATTGCTGACTAGCTTTTGTTCCTCTTTCATCAGAGCTCAATCAAAGAATTAAAATAATGCCCAACAACTAAAAGGTTGAAAATTGAGGATAAAAATTCTCCATAATATATTGACATGCATATACTGATAGCATTGAGAGACAACAATCTTTTTTTTTTTTTTTTTAACATAAAAAAGGTCATCATCTTTTTTTAGTCCAAAATTGTCTCAAGAACTTTACTATGGGTGTATTTTCTTTTTTCCAATTTCCTCTTTTAATGTCTTTTTTATAGCATTTGCTAAATTTTATACCTTCAATAACATATTTATAATAATATTATTGGGTAAAGAAAAACAAATTCCATTTATATTACTGGAATGTTACTGTTTGCAGATAATAAACATATATGATCTTTTTGCTTAGATTCTAACAAAATTTAATCTGAAAATCTTTAAAATATCTAAGATGCATTTTTACTTTTCATTTTTAGAAAATTCTGTATTTTTTTCCTTGTTGAATAACTGGTTCTTGATTTTGCTTCTATATAAAATGAATTATGAGCCAGTACCATGTAACATTGTAAACATATCTTGATTAAAATTTTCAGTAAACTTTGAACACAGCCTGTAGTAAATTAACGCATTTTGGTTTGTGTCAATTATTCAACTTTATATGATTAAGAAAGATTGTTGTAAAAGCTTTACTTGACGATTAACAAATACTTTTGTACAAGTATTGCATTTTTATTACAGTATTTCTATTTGTATTCTCACAAATTCTGAATACTGTATTTTTATTTGTGGCAAATAGATTTATTCCTATGGTTATAATTTGACCAATATTTTGATTTAAAAAAAAAATACATCCTTATTTCCTGGCTGGAATCTGGCATATTCATCAGTCAATATTAAAAGAGGGAAACCAATACTTCCTTACTGCTATTCTCTTTACTTTATCTTGTCTTAATATATTATCGATAATTTATTTCCCCAGATTACAAAAAGCCTTCTTGGGGATAATTCATCTGTTGGCCAGAATGTTATTATTGCAGAATCTGTTATTGGTCCACAGTGTCAGATAAAAGATGATGTCAAAATTAAAAATTCTATAATATTGGATCATACCATCATTCATAAAGGGTAAGTTATTAGCTTTCTGCTTAACATTTAATTTTGATAACTCTAAATTACTAGCAAATTAAGGTTTTAAGCAATTCTGCTCAGTCTGTTATCAAATGTGACAACTGAATGCAAAGCAGCAGCTTGTATGTCTACTGAATGATTTGTGCATGGTACTCTTTGTTGTTGTACAAAATAGATTCCTTTCTTATACCTGCAAGTTTTTTAAAAAAATAAGTTTTTTTAAATATTTATTAATAGGAAAATCAAAGATACTACCAGTATATATCCATCTTGTTTATATACTATTCAAGCTAGGAAAATTTCTGATACATTGATATTTGCATTGCTTCTAGATTTTTGTGTTGAATATAGAGGCTGTCCAGTATATAGAAATCATTTTGCTATGAATCAAAAACTCTCAAATGTCATTCACTTTACACATTAACTGACATTTTTGTGATATTAAATAGGAAGTATTCAGACAGGTATGCTTCACTTTAAAAAAAAAAGTAATATAATTTCCTTTTTTTTTTTTTTTTTTTTTACTTAATGACATTTGCAATGGCTTCTAATTGCAAATAAAGTTGATCTCTGAAAACAATTTTTGAATGAATTGGGAGGTTAAGAAAAGTCTATCTGTTTGAAATTTAGGCTGGATGATATTTTTTTTATTGGTGTTCCATTTTGAACAATTCAAGACAGATTTATTCAGATTGGGATATATTAGGTTTACAAAGATGAAATGGTTGGATTAAGAGGGGCAAGTTGTCAAATATTTTTCACCACTTTATGCCATTTGCCAACTCTCACCACAAATTTAGCTTTCAATTTTATACTAGATGCTTTTTATGTTTAATCATTCCTGCAATCCCTTGAGTCAATTAGAATGCACTGTTGTTATTTTTATATATTCAGTGATTTTTTTTCTCATATTTTCAAAACAGCTCATTCAAAAATTGGAATTGAAATGTAGTTGTTTGTAGTATTGAAAAGTGCATGTTACTGAAAATGTCATGGTCAGTGAGAAATTATTCATATGCATTAAACAAAATGGTTTTAAATTAAGTGAGTGCATTGTCATCATTCACACTGAAGAGAATCAGAAAAACTATTCAGTGATTTTCTTTCTCTTTTTTTTATTTTTGCTTTCTATAGTATTAAATGAATTTTTTTTCAAAAGTTTAAAACAAGGAATTCACAAAGTATTAAGTGATATCAGAACTTTTAAAGATGTTTTCTCAAATGTGTTTCCAATTTAATCCAATATGTATCAGAATGTGAGCTTATAATGGTTAAGGGAAGATTGTAGGTTTTTAATTCTGATAATTAGCAATATTTTTATTATTTTAATTTTGATAATATACTTTTTTCTTACTTGCAGTAGTAAAATTGAAAACTGCATTATTTGTGATAATGCATTTATTTGCTCTATGTGTGACCTTAAATCTACTGTGGTTGGAAGTTGCAGAAAAATAGAAGAATCAGGTGAGCTGAGCAAGTTCTATTCTGTTTTATTGTCATGTTAATATCTTAAATACTTTAATTACAAAATCAAAATTACAATGTCTTTGAATTTTTGTTTAAATAAAAAAAAAATGTGCGTACAGAAAAACTAATAGATAATTTGAGCTGAACTTTTTTCTTTCTTATGTATTTTCGTATTTTTATTTATGTTAAGTTAGACATCTTAGAATCATGAATCCTGTTAAATTGTTACAAAAAAGAAAATTAATTTCTACTAGGTGTGTGAAAAAAATTGCATTTTTTTATTTTAAAATTGTCAAAAAAATTTCCAAAAGAAAATGCAGAGACTGGAAATAAAAATATTGAAGTCTTTCTTTTTGATCTGAATTGATTGGCATTACAATTTTACAATTTGAGAATTCTTAGTTCTTTTTTTCCCCTAACAGAGTGTATGGTGATATTGAAACTATACTGAATTTGGAAATTTGTATAAAAGTTTTCAGTATTACCAATATAGTCAATAATGTTTTTTTTTTTTAATATTGTTTGCCCAATACAAGGCCCAAGAACCACTAAATGAGGTTGTTGTAAGAGCATAAAGAGAGGAGAAAGCAGTGCATATTATGAGGATAGATATTGTTAGACCCTAGACAAGAAGAGGTTAAAATTGTTGTGGATGGGGACGCATCCACTTGTGAGTCTTTTCCACAGTTCTGGCAAAGAAGCTGTCTGAGTAGAACTTCCTCCTTACCAAAGGAATATAAAAGGAATGAGGATGATTTGATGTCATGTATGTGGCATGGCATGTCCAAGCTGTGAAGGTTTGAACTGGTGGAACTAGGGAATGTAACTTGCCTGAACATTTCCCATAGTGATAGTTTTTGTTTAAAATGAAGGTGTGTAAGTGCATATAGAAGATTATGTAAAATACAAAGTATTCTTGAAATAAATAATTAAAAAATATTATTAGCTCTTAAGTTTTATTGATATATAGATCAATGGGGATCAATATTTAATAAAAAATTATAAAATTTCATCTAATTTGTCAAATATAGTTTTATCGTGTGAAATATGAAAGATTGAATTTAGAGAGGGGTTAATTCTTTTGTTTTTAATATTCTATGAAGAAATATTTTAAATGCTTTCCACACACACATCCAAACATGATTTTTATTTTATTTATTTATCTTTTTAAAGATTTTCTTGGTTGTACAGGAAATTTTTAACACCTCTTTCTATGAGGAACTACTGGAAAATTCACAACTTGACTAAGGAGATATTTTTAAAAATATAAAATTATCCATGGGTAGATTTGGGGGAGTAGGTTTAATTTAGTTTATATCTCTTATTGATGTAAAGTTCTGCACCTCTTTGTATTTTTATGTTAGTTGCAGGTATAATGTATTTTTTTTTTTTTTTTTTTTTTTTTGAGGTAGTTCAATTGATTTCATTGGCTAGCTGATAACATTAGTGAATGTTCATATATATATATAAGTTGTAGCCTCTGTCTGTTAGTGAACTTCTAGGGTTTTGGAGGTAGACCACCCCCTCCCATAACCATATATATTCTGAAACTACATTACCCAGGGTACTAGGATAAGTATATTTCATTTTGATCAAAAGTGTCAACCCCCCCCCCACACACACACGGAAAAGTTTTTTTGATTTAATTTAAATTTGAGCAAGGGAATGACTCCTATCCAAATTATAGTAGAAAGCCAGAAGATGGAGGTCACATTGACAAGATCATTGAGTAATATTGAATTGCATAATTTTTCTCTGCAAATTATAACAATGATTTAAAATCAATCATCATTTTCTTACAAAAAAAATGTGTGACATGCTGCAAGGTGCATGTAAATCAGCTAGTAGCTCAATAAATAAGTATAATACTTTTCTTTTGTAAACAAAGTGGCCCTTTATAGCAATCATCTTGAAAGGCATTATCTGTTAAATGAAAAAGATTACATATCCATCAAAAAGAATTCTGGTACTGAATTGTACAATCTGTGAGTTACAAATTTATTTATCTGATTCATCTTGAATCTATAGAAGTAAACAAAATATGTATCTGTAGGGCATAAGGTATAATTTCAGTTTATTTTTAATTGTTTTTCTTTTTTAACCAAGATTATGTTAATTGTTTATGAAATTTTGAAGATTGTTTTTATCTTTTTCAGTTAAATTAAAAAATGAAACCCTTGTAGATGCTCAAGAAATGATGGAAATCTGAGTTTTTCTTCTGTCTCAACTAGAAAAACAGCTGTTAATGTTCTCAGCTGGTTTGGATTATAGACAGTATCTCTTCTCTTTTTTTTTTTTTTATTTCATGATTTTAAAACAAAAGTTGGAAAAATTAAGGCATGTCATCTTTTCCATTATGAGTTATAATCTGTATAATATTTGACAATGGTGGCTGCCAAACTTCATCTTGTGTTGTTTCACAGAACTCTTTCAATATCAGACTATCTGCTCTCTTTCCAGTCTGACTTTTCTGCTCCAAATATAATTCTGCAATTGAAATGTGAAGATTAATTTTACTCCCTGAAAAGTTTTATTCAACCAAAAGATTGAGAGAGAATAATGGGAATGTTTTTAGACAATATGGCACAAGTGTTTTTTTTTTTTTTCAGAGGAAGGGGAGGGGTAGCAAAAAACATCTTTTATCAAACTGTACAAATATAAAATATATGCATAAAAATATGTTCAAGGGTGAGAGAGATTTTTTTTTTTTTCATTTTATATGGAAATTTTTTGTAATTTGTTTATGCTATAATCATTTTTCCTGTATTTTTGTGCCTTTCAATGCTGTTAAAAACAAATATAAAATGATCACATTGATGAGACTCAAAATTAGTTACAAAAATTCAATTTGAAAAATAATGGAACCGCTTTATATATCAACACTGAAATTAACTGAGACTTTCGGTATTTATTCAAGATATATATTAATGACATTTAAACCCTGTGCTTCTACATTCTATAAATTGGTAGTGAGTATTCTTGCCTTTAGATCTTATATTTTTACTTTGTGACATTAGGAAATCTCAGAATGTAAAAGAAAGTGATAACATTTTTTTTAATATAGAAAAAAATACAACCAATTTATCTAATTATTGAGTAAAATCTTTTCCTGTCAATTGAAATGTTAAGTTATCAAGTGATCTGCTTAACAATCTATTGGATAGAAAGATTAATCTAGAAATGTCTGTTGTTATTACCATGAATAATAATAATAATAACAATAATATTTGATTTGTAAAAAAAAAAAAAAAAAAAAAAATGAAGTTTGTTTAAGTAAGAATTATAAAGTCGGACTGATTTTACACTATATTATGAACATGAGCCTTCTTGGAGTAAGAATTAATATTTTTAATAATATTAATTAATAAATCTAACTAAATGAGAATTTTTTTTGTTTTGCTTAGAATATACTTTGTAAGTTACCAATTCTACATTTTTGTTAAAATTGTTTTTGTTTTATTTATCTATAATTTAAAGTTTGTATTTTTGCATTTATTGACTGAATTAATGTTTAGCTATAAAAATTAGTCTAAAAAAAATGAAGGAAACTTAGAAAAATATTAAGTTAAGAAATGTCAACAGCAGCAAAAGTGTTAATACATGAATAAGAAAATGTTTGATTTTGTGGCTCTAATTTGATCAACTAGTTTTTAAAAAAAAAATTTTTTTTTTTCTTAAACTATTTTTGTAGATTAGCATTCGTTAGACCTTTCTCTATCCATGGTATTTGTCAGAATAAAAAATATTAATTTTTTTATCATTTTAAAACTAGGCTCATGTTCATAATATAGTGTAAAATCAGTCTGACTTAAAGAGTTATCTGTACTTTATTTTTATTTACAAACATCATGTTTAAAACTGCTGATGTTACTAATAACTATATGAATTGGGAGAAAAGTGGGAAACATCAATAGGATGCAGTTATCAGTGACATGATCACTGGTTCAAACTTGACATTTGTAAATAAAAAAAAAAAGTACAGATAACTCTTTAAAAAGTTGGATCTATTTGACACTTTATTTTATATTATGAACAGGATCCCTCCTAAAATAAATTAATATTTTTTGATTCTGACAAATTTCTAATGAATATTAATCTACAAAAGTTGTTCCAATTCCTTCAATCTTATTGCATGTTTTTTTTGAGTTGACCAGTTAATTTTAAGTAGTGCTGATTTTCTTAATGCTTTGTTATTTGACACCCTCTTTAATGCATTAAAACTGGATGTGACTTGTTTATTTGAATGGATAAATAATTTACTAAATTTTATTTCTATATTTATAATTAAAATCTCTGAGCATGCATCTATATAAATAAAGCACAGTGTATGTGTGTCTGTCTGTTTTTTGATCTTGGCAAATCATAAACAACATGAAGTAATTACTGTAGTTACACGTGATTAAAAATTAAATAACTCATTTAAAGTTAATTTTAAATATTGAACAGAGTTAAAGGTTTAACTTTAATTTTGCTTTTTGTCACAATTGCAATTGATATCTTCTAATCAAACCATAATTTAAATTTAAGCAGGGCATGGTATGTTGCTCATATATTATTTTTTTTTCTTTTTCTAGCACAAAAACTGTGACATATTCGAAATATTACATAGTTTGGGTTCCCTAATGTCTTTTAAGAGTGACTTTATACAAAGGGATTGTAAAGAAAGATTGATGATTTTTAAAAGAAAATAAAAATTGTGCGCAAAATAAATGCAAACAAACTATAGAGATCAGTTGCATAAACAAAGAAAAATTGTTGAATAAAGATAAAATAATTTGATTATTTCTAAATTCTTATAACTTTTTATGTACATAGGATACTGAAGGTAAAAGTCCGAAAGCCCAAAAGCCCCCCTCTGCAAGAGCTAGTCTAAAGTCCATCCAAGGGGCGGCTTCTAGGCTTGTGAGGAAATAAATAAAAAAAAAATAGTACTTTTTTTTTTTAGAAATTAACAGTATATGCTGAGTATACATGAACATGCAAATGTTAATTGTATTGTGACTCGGCTGATTATAGTGCAAATATTTTAATGTAAATAGTTGATATAGGCATAGTTTTATTTTCATCCTTTGAGTAAATATGTAAGCTTTAGACAGATTTTATGTGATCAATCTGTTCATACACTTATGAAATCTGGGACACCTTGGGATTTTACTATATGTGTTAAGTTAAAATTGAATTGGTTCTATAGAAAAGGATTGTTAAACATGAAATTCAAATTATGAAAAACTGAACCTTATAAAATGCACTTCATTGTATTAATCTGACTGAAATAGGGCAGCAAAAAGAAAGTCTTATAATAAATTTCTCATAGTCTTATTTTTATTTCATATCATTGTGAAATTTAAATGAAAAATACTACATTATTATTATCATTACAGTAAAGCATTAATGTTTATCATTTTTTATAATAGTTAAAATTAAACTGTCAACTCTGCTTAGAAACTCTTTGGTACATTTCTCATGTTGTATTGGCATGAAATATTTTAATCCACAAACTGCATATCATTTCCCACTACTTAATAAAAAAAAATCCTACCTTTTATATCTCTAGGGATGTCAGCAATGCTAACGTTGCACTTTGGTTCACCAATTTTAAGCAATTTTCGAATCTCTTTGGCAATATACTGAAATGAAACCAAAATCCTGTTTAAAAACAAAAGACTAATAATGTAAATTAAGATATTGGCTACAACTTTTCTAACAGGGTTTCTGACATATCATGGTTGTCCTTTGGTTCTGAAGAAGACTTTGTCTTGCAATTCATCAATGGACCCAAAGGTAACTCCATAAACCAAGTCTAGATGCACATTCGGTCTAGGTTAGATCTTGTACTAGTAGAGGTAGCACTGCCAGATTGGTAAACAGACCTGTGTGAGAAGAATTTATAGTGGGGAAAAATCATTGCACTGGGGTAATCTCATTCTCTTGGTCTGGGGAGTCTTTATCCAGTGGCATGAGGAACTATTAGACTTCTACCTGTCCATATTATGATGCAGTCCATGGTACTTGCTGAACTCATCACCTTCAAGGTCATTGGATCTGTAGGAGATCTTATCTGCTGACTCCGCTGAAAATCATACTTTACATGCAATAGAGCTGACAGACCTGAAAGTATCAAGGGTTTGAACCCATTGACTACCCTCTTCTGGTTTGCCCACCAGTCAAAGTGGTTTACTGGGGGTGTGGCTACTGTTGCATGGAAACAGCTATTTGGAGCCACAGGTGCAGGCAGGGTACCAAAGTGGATGAACTGCTCTCAAAGGAGTACGACTTCTCCATTGGAGGTGCTATCTCTCCCAACACTCCAAACATTTTTTTAACTGGACATCAGAGCAAAATGATCATTGTGAAATATACCAATTACTAATCTGATAATAAAATGTTTAAAAGATACATAATTTAAAATTTATATAAATAACAGAAAAATAATCACCAAATATATATTAAACCATTTTTTAAAATTACTGTTGCTGTTAAAACTATCTAAAAATGTTGAGCAATGGAAAACAAATAGTAAATGCGCAAAATTAAATAAATGTTAGGATTCAAAACACCTCACCTACAAATTTGAAGATATATTTAAAACAGCTCAGTTATTTGCACCAATGTATAAACTCATAGATATATTAAATATTTGTAATAAAAGTAATATAAAAATATAATTCTTAATAGTATATTAAATATTTGTAATAAAAGTAATATAAAAATATAATTCTTAATAGTATATTAAATATTTGTAATAAAATAAGCTCATAAGATATTTTCATACAGTTGATTGTATAATCGCTTAACCTAAATAAAAAAGCAAAAACAAATAGACTATAATAAATAAATAAATAAAATATGTATTTTGATAAATTAAAAATATAATAAAGAATAAATGGATAGATAAATAAATTATTTTTCTTTAAAAACATTGCTTTCTTGGAGCAACATAAAAGCCATCCATTCACTGCAACTGCCATCATTCAAAAATATATATTTGATATAATCTCATTAAAAAGTAACTAATAATAAAGACTTGGATAATCTTCATTTTAAACTGAAGAATTACAATAATGCCTATTGATAATGAATTATATCATGTGCTCTTGGCCTATTCAATCAGTTCTGCTATTAATAGAGCCAGTCATTGAGTTCATTCAGTGAAATGTTAAGCATTGGCTGTTCCATCTGAATTATTTATTGAGCATTTAATGACCTGGCAGCTGTTGATACATAAGATATTATCATTACACATACTCACATCATGAAGGACAAAAATAATATATGATTATAGGTAGCTAATGCTACAAAATATATCTTGATTACTCCTTCTCTAATTGTATAATATATATTATGTTGTAATAATCTGAATAGATGGAACTTGACAGTCCATGTAGGGGAGGGAAAACTGAATTTAAACTTTTGCTGTCTTGTGGTCATATCCAAACATGGAAAAGGCTATTTCCAGACAGAAAACCTGGAGTGGAGCCTTGTGAAGGTGGTTGACTGTCTGTCAACATTGACAACTTTCCTGCAACTCTTGCAGCCAGCTATTCTCAAACACAATGCCTGTATTCTTTTGGATCTTGTTGGTACAACCGAGAGGAGGAAGGTGGGGAGGGGGGGTTGTCATGTAACCTGGGTAGCACTGGATTTTGACCAAATGGTGTTAACTTTATCTCACAAAGTAATCAGATGCCTACTATTATTAACTAGATCAATTCTATATAAGCAAATTAAGTTTTTCATTATTCCATGTATTTTTAGACTCCTCTCCATTTTTATTATTTTAGTATATTTTAGCCAATATATTATTCAGCTTTTTGCAAATGTATGTTACATTCAGTAGCCTTTAGAAGTGATGTATGGAAGCAAGTGAATGAAGCAGCACACAAGTCAGTCCAAGAATAATACGTTTATTCTTGGACAGACTCGTGTGCTAAACAATTGTAGAGTTTAGCACTATATAAAACCAGTTATCAAGATTATACAAGACAATCAGGAAAAGTTTCAGTTTTAATATCTGAGATCACTAAAAGACCAATTATATATTCCATTGGTAATGTTTATATTAGTTCTGATTTTAAATGCACAGTATAAATTTACTGAAACAAATTTTTGGTCAAAAATTCTTTAAGCCTCTGGTAATACCATAGGGTGTTTGATAACCCTCACAGAATGTTTTTTCTTTAATATTTAACAAGTGGCAAGCCAAATTTTCATGATTAGTCAAGTAGCTTTCTGAAGACCTCTGCCAATTAACTACGAATTTCTGGTTTTAATTATAAATTTCAGTGAATTATAAACATTTTGTTTACTGAAAATAAAATGAAACTTATTTTTGAAACTTACTAATTCATTTTTTAATACTGGCCTCTTAATTCAATTTTTAAAATAATTTTTTTTCCTCCTATATAAAGAAGAAATATATCACTCAGGACAATATATAAGAATATTTAGAACTAAATTATAGATCTGTAATGTTATAAGTAGGGTATCTGAAAAGCTGACAGCATTAATGGAGAGTTAATTATTGGTTCTTCACTCCCTCAGCACCTAAAATATTTGTTCATGTAGAAAATTACTAAAGTTGAGTATGAGAATATAGAGTAGTAGGTAGCTAAAACCTTGTGTGTGTGTATGCCAAGCTTGTGTCTTAATGTCTTTATCACTTAAAGCATCTGGAGAACTTTCATCAATTATGCATGTATTGAATACTTGGAATCAACTCTATGACATAGAAGTGCTTCAGTGAAATCAGTGCAACAGCATTGAAGCAATAATTAAAGATAGCTTGTGTTGGAATGATCATGTTGCTCACAACAAAAGATTCCTGAGCAGCTTTTATATGGAGAGTTCCCTAATGGAAAGCAACCAGCCCAACAAGCATTATAAAGATGGCCTGAATGAATCCCTGAATCTTGCAAGCATCAGTACATGATTGGGACCTACATGCAAATGATGGTATCACCTCATGGAAGGAGTTTCATGATGGAAGTGTTTTCAGATTGCAAAAGAAAAGCTGGAATAGAAAAGGTCATGATGTGGAACTTCCAGACCATATAGGTGAAAAGCATGACCTCACCTGTGATGTTTATGTAAGCTTTGCTTGAGTAAAGGAAAATTGTCATGTGCAAAGTCATTGTACCAGAGTGCCATCAACTACAAAATGGCATCAAGTATTGAGAAAAAGTTTGCAAGTCGGCTGATGGTCTAAAAAACATGCAGTCACAAAAATATACCTAATCACAACAAAATGTGTGTCTACTAACTTTATGCCAGGTTTTATGTTTGTTCAGTTTAAAGCACAACTAAGTCTTACAATGATATTTTAAAATGCAACTAAGTTTTACAATGAGACTGAAGCCATCATGTGTGTGTGTGTGTGTGTGTATGTGAGAGTTTAAGTGCAGTTGGCATTAAATTAATTTTTCTCCTGCCAGAATTTGCCATGTCATTACATAAGTAATCATTAGAATAAATTAAAGTTTTGATGTATTTGTTTAATAAAACCTATCCATTATATAGTGTTGTATAAACAAGTTCCTTGATCAGAACAGACAGTGCTTCATTCAAGCTCATTTCCTCTTATGTTACTCAAATACAAGACTTAAGTATTTAGTCATTTTAGTTTTGGAAAACTACTGTAGTTGAATTTGAGAAAATTAAGAATAAAATACTAAACAACTTCTGAAAGTCACTGAACATTGTATACACCTAAATCTGAGCAAAGAATATATTGGCCAAAACATGTTTAAAACCACAAATAAGATAATAGCTTATATATTTAAGAAAAAAACAAAGAGGAAAGAGAATAGTTTTGACCCAATATTCTGAATCTAAATAATGGCAGAATCATAGTTCATCTTTGCTAATAATCTGTTTTATATGCTGGTAGATCAATAAGTTTGTAGCCTCACATATAGTTATTGAATTTGATCTGAAATTTTCACTGTATGTTCAAGCTATGTAATTAATAATAATCGAGCTAATGTAAAATGGATGCTTTTCTTGATCATTAAACAATGGATTTACTGTTTACTTTTTAAATAGTATTAAATATGATCAAAATAGAAATAAAACACAAAAAAATTAATAGCCAAAAGAAAAATGCAAATTTCTTTGAGATATAATTAGTTGTACTCAGTGTGATATAAAGACATTTTTTGGTTGTATTCAAGTCATTACAAGAAAATTTTAAATGTTAAAAAAAGAAGAAAAAAAGACTTGTACTATCTTAAAAATTTCTTGAAAAATATGTGCTTTCACTGTTACAATGATACAGTTCATACATATATAAGGTTGGGTACCTTGATGTGATGTAATGGTTAGTAAACTTGTCTCACTAGAAGAATTATGACTGAGTAGTGAGTTTGATTCTCACTGGGTGCCCCATACTTTCAGCCCTGTGCAAGAATTAAAAAAAAATAGAAAAAGTAATATAAAATGTATTTATTTATATCAATATTTCTGAACAATATAATGAAAAAAATGTTTATCTCAATCAAATAAAGACTCACTTTGATGTGTTTATAATCTGTGATGCCTAATTTGCATAGTGTTGAAGCATCAACCAAAATCAGCTTCCTTCCAGTAATTTCATTGCATCTGAAACAATCCTAAATGGAGAGGAAATTTTGGTATTTCATAACTGCAATTAAACAATCATGATGCCAACAAAATATTTAAACAAGATTATCATTACTGAATTTCCAATTTTTAAAGGTAAATGATTTCTTTCTGGTAAGTTAATAACAAGCCTAATTCTTGAAAGAGTCTTGATCATTTTGATTTCCTTTACCAGGTGTTATTCAATCAATTCTATTCTACTAGTGTTTATCATAATACAATGTTGAATTCAAATACAGTGTATGGCTGAGAACTAAAAACATTTGTAAAAATTCATCTTATCTCTTGTGCATTGTATTTCCATCAGTTTTTTCTCAATTTTGCTACTTATTTTCTACAAAGCATAGTTATTTAAAGTTTTCCTCAATTACATAAGGCTCTGAAATGGTTTATTATGAGGGAGATGTTTTGCTAAAAAAAAAAAAAATAAAGTAAGAGTGCTATAATGGAAAATTCAGTTCTGAAAGACCTTTTCCAAATATATCTTTATTTTTTAAACTCATTTTTTTTTTTTAATTGGCAAGGCAGTAAAGCAACTAAGACACAAGGGGCTACATGGTGTGGAAGAATAATGAGTGGGAAGAGGAAAGAGTAAACAGGAGGACAGTTGGTAGTGATTGACATTGCATTTAAATTTCTGCAGATTAAAGTTGGCTGAAAAGCCTGGAGCCAGAAAGGAGTTCCACAAGCAAGAAATGTAAGAAAATAAACTGTTAGCATAGAATTTATGGCTACATTTAGCATAACCATTTAGTCATACATTTAGCCAGCTCAACTGTAAATTTATGAAATCTTGATGCCAGTCTAGTACTATGTTTAAATTCAAAAAGTCTAGGTATGGAGTAAAATGTGATAAAATAGGCTCCATAGCTATGCATGCAGCCAATGATGATACAACAATGCAGGTTGGAGGACTTCCTAGACAGAAGTCAACAGCCAGTGCAGAGTGTTCTTCCAATAAAATTATGTTCATGATCCAAGGTGAACGTTCAGGTTGGAGGACATCAGCTGTAATTTGATTTGGCAAGGGATGGGTCCTGCCAGGTTTACTTGCCCAAGACACTACACATTAGTGAATACCTCTCCAGCTTTCAACTCAGATATGTAGGAGAAACTGGTCAGATGTTCAGCTGCACATCAAACCTTCAACCACACCTGGTACCTAGACTGATGATAGTGACGAATAAGGATACAAAGCCACTCATAGTAATGAAATAATTCTGGTGGATGATCTTTTCCACTAACAAATCTCAATTTTACTAATAAATGAAAGATTGGAGTAGAAACCAGAAAGTATATGAAAGGGTGCTCAAAATTTATTCCAATTCACTTCCGAAACATCAGAATTTGTCTGGTAAATTCAGTTTTCTATACTCAACAATCTTTCAGCTTCTATTACTTGCGTAATGAAACTAAAGTAAATTACTTTTTGTTTAGTGGTTTAACGTTTGCTCAAAATTTATTTGCTGAGTAATTACAATAGTTGTGTATACACCCAAATAAATTTTATTGGGTTTCGTTTGCACTAATCCACTGAATTAAATATCCAACTTATCAAATCTTACTATAATTAACTCTGTATGAATAAAATGGTTTTATTTTATATATATAAATATATATATGTCTTGTATCAAGGGAAAAGTATGTTTAATTATTTTTACTGGTATTTCCATGACATTTGTTTAGATAAACTCCATTCTTTAGTTCCACTAGTCCATATCTTTACAGCTAATACCTGCTATGCTATGTATGTCCATGGAGTCAAACTATCCCTCCATACACACTCTATTCCAATTGTAAAGTGGAAATTCCAGGCATCCAGATTTCTCCCAAGAAACACTGAACACTACAATCTTAACCTTTTTAAGTAAATTGCCTTTTTACTTTTTATTCATTTCACTCCATGTAAGACGATAAAGCCACTAAGATGTGTGTGTGGGGGTGTATGTGAAAGATTATGAGAAAAAGAAAAAGGTTATTGAGGAGAGAGAACAATAAAAGAACAGGAATTAAGAAGACAGAACATAACCATTGACATTGCATTTAAATTTTTGAAGATCTGAGTCAACTGGAAAGCAAGAGGCTGGAAAAGATTGCCACAAGCAAAAAGTGAGAGAGAAGAAACTGTTAGCAAAGACCTTATGGTTACATCTCGCCATTTAAACTGTAAAATGAGGAGACCTAACTGCTAGTCTAGTACTGCACTTAATAAAGTTGAGGTACCAAAAAGAAAAGAACAGAACAGTTGCCATGAAAATATTTATAGAAAAGGCACTAGTAACATGTTATAGCCATGATATCAGGACCAATAACATTGCAGATTCTTTTTTGGAACTTATCAAGAATCTCTAAATACATAACAGAAGCAGCAATATTTAATGCATGGACGAATGGTAAACTTGTAGAGGTCACATGCCTCTCGAATTTTATTCAATGCAAAATACCACAAAATATATAAGAATAAACACAAAACGGTTTTATAACAACAAGATTAATATTTATATAATGATGTACAAGCATAGGGGGTTACTATTTTTGTTGGTGTTATGTCCCCTTGACTGAATTAAAGTTTTTACTAATGAAGTATTTTTTTATCTGAACTCATAACAGTTGTATGAACTTGCCACTCAAAATATTCACTGTGAGAGAATTGAAAGGATTCTGTAAAGCTGAGAATGTGTTGAGTAAACTTTTAACTTTAGAAGAGTTGAAGGAGTGAATGTTCCATAATGTTTGTAATTAAGTTTCCCATTGCTTGTAGTTGAATATTTGTAATATAATGTTCATAATAAAGTTTGAAAAGTTTCATATGTACATGAATGTTTTCAATGTTGTCTGCCAGCAAGGGGCTGAGACACAATCTCTTTTTTACAACTACATTTTAGTAGCGAGAGAAATCAAGGAAAAAGGAAGAATGAACTTGTGTCTGGTATTTATAATCAACGTAATCATGTGACAGGCTCGAAAGGCATTGACAGATTTTGGGTGGAATTATTTTTTTAGTCAGGTCAAGTACTAGGTCGATGTTATTCGGATGTAATTGAGAACATGATTTAAATATTAAGTGACTAATCAGAAGTTGAGGTTTTCTGAAAATATGTATAAAGCTGAATAAGCTCTGTGATCTGCTTTTTGCACGGATTTGCACAAAAATTGAGATTGATAAAAAAGTGGTAGCGGGATGCTAAAAACTTAAGATACATTCTGGCAAGAAAAATGGTCTAGTACAACTCAATGAAACAACTTTCCTAGCAATTGATTCAATATTTCCACTTCATGTCAGTGGAAAATGTTAGCCCAAGAAGTCACTTGCTTGGAGGTTAGCATCAGTCATGCTGATGGACAGCAAATAAAATTTTCTCTAAGACTATCCACCATAATCTTTACTTCCTCCTCTTACATTCATATCACATTCCATAACCCTCTACATTGAGTGTCTCTTGAGCCTTATATTGGGTGAACATTAATGTAAAAAATTATTAATTACACTGTTATAGAATATACTTTTTTTAGCATGTATTTAGTAACAATTTGGGGTGGTTTCAATGTAAAAAAATTATAGTGAATGCAATTCTGATCAATGTGGAATGATGGTAATGTAGGAAACGAAATAATTTATACAAAGAATATTACCTTTTTGTGAAGTTTTTGAAAGTAAGTTATTTTATTAAAGATTACTAATTTATAAAATTTAAATTGAAAACTATTTTTCTGTTCAACATTTATAGAAAGGAAAAATAAAACAGCTGTCTGTAACCATTTCAAATGATGGTATTAAAATAATTCCCAAACCATATTGAAGACTACACTAGTTTGGGTATGGTTTTAGGTTGTCCCAGGTAACGCTAAAAAAGTGGTATACCCGGGAGAAAAAGGTCCCCAAATTGATAAAAAAAAAATTTTAACGTGTAAATGATTATGTTAAAATTAAAGAGGGAAGACCAAGGTATTTTTTAATCATTTTAAAATTTTTTTTTTTCATTTGCAGCATTTTTTAAATTTAGTTTGAAAACCTCGTTTTTTTTAGGTCAAAATTAGGTTAAATTAGCATTATTTTTGTTTTCACTATTTTCAGTTGGAAAATACACATTGATTTGGAAAATCTTGCAAAAATCAAGTACTTGTTGGATTTTTATGAAACTTTCAGAACTTATTCACAAATGAATGAAATTATTTTAGAAATGTTTGTCTTTTTGAAAGTCATGGTATAAATATTTTTTTTTATATATGTTACACCCCCCGAACTTAATTTTATGAAAACTTCAAAAATTTATTTTTGTATCTGGATTTTTTTTTTTTATTAAATGCACAAGACTCTGAAGATTCTAAATCATCGATTTTTTTGGTAAAAAAAATGAGTAGAATTGTCCAAACTTTTACCTCAATTGTAAACATACAAAACCCAATAAAACTAAGACAATATTTAATTAAAAAAGCTTTTTATGACTTTTCTGAATAACATATACTAAGGTAATTCTTACCTGAAAAAAAAAAAAAAAAAAAAAAAAAATTTTGAAGAAAAATAAATTTTTACAATAATTTTTTCTTTTTTTTTTCTATTTTAAATACACAAATGACAAAATTCACAAAATATTAAAATATATTTTAAAATTAAGTTTCTTTATGTAACCTCATGGAAATGACATATTTTGTTCTCTACTTTTTGAAGATCATAAATTTGAAAGCTTATTAAAATCTGACAACCAGTGATATTTTTAAAATAATTTTTTAATATTCCAAAATTGTATTTAATATCGACTCCAACGAAAGTACGGATGCACAGCTTTGAAATAACGTCACGTGAGGCAGAGTTGTTTCCCTTGATAGAAGCAAGTTCTTTTTACTTCAGAAATTACTTCGCATTCTTTCTGTTGACAACTAACCAACGCTTGTCAAGTTTTCTGACTGAATATCGTCGCATTTTCAAATTTTTTTGTTTTCAAATATAATCAATTTGTTCCTTTTTCTTTTCAGTTTTTAAATATGCAAAATATTATTTCATTTTTTTTGTTTTATTCATTTTTTTTTTTTTTTTTACGGAAACGGCGAAGGGTTTTTTAGGGGACAAGAGAGTTAAGGTTTTTTGTTTTTTCACTGTATATTCTTTACTTTGTTTTATTTACTGTTTTATAGTGAGAGCCGTAAATTGTTTTTTTAGTTTTAACTTAATTGAAACTAAAAACAATTGAAATAAAAAACGGAGGTCTTGAGGAGCGTGGAACCACCTCTTAATTGCTGTTGTTCCAAGGTCCACTCTGACCCAGAGTGGTAGCACCTGATAGGGTCCCAGCTATGGGTAAATAGTGGGATAAAACAAAATATTGATCATTTACAATTAAAAAAAAAAAAAAAAAAAACACCCTTGGAAGTGCACCCGAATTTTCAAGTTTGAAATCGATTGCATAGCATTTCAATGTTATTAATAAATAAAATATGTATAAAACTCCCATGACTGCCATATCACAAGTATTAATAAATAGAAAAAAAATCTGTCTTAATAAAAAGAAATAAAATCTCATTTCATTAAGTTAACCTGTTTCAATTATGAAATTTAATGTTTCATGTAATTTTTATATTCTCAGAAAAATATTTCATGACAAGTAATAAAAATCAATTTAAAAAAAAAAATGTTACTGTTTTATTTTTAATTTTTACTTGTAAATTTTTTTTTTCCATAATTTAAATGTTATTTTCAGTGCATAATTTTTCCCCAAACGTAAAGTTAAAAAAAAAAAAAAAAAAAAATTTGAAAGTGAATTTTTTTTTAATTTACTAACCAGGTTCACTTAAAATTAGAACGAATTATATCACTTCTGTGCTACCGTACGATAAATTCCCCTGACGTAAGTTGTCAATATATTGACATACATCAATTAACACACGCCAAAGCAAGCACCAAGATTGGAAATATCTCTATTAAAAAATTTTCTGCTAAAAAAGTAAGTAATGTTTCTTTCAAATTACATTAAGTATACTTTAATCATTCTAAATTTCCTAAGATAACAAAAAAAAAAAAAGGTGTAACTGAATTTTAATTGATTTTTGAACTAAGTTTGATTTTTTTTGTTTACAAACTCGGGCAGAAATGTCCGATAAATCGAATTTACTAATTTTTTTTTATTCAAGAAAAACGAATTTTTTAAAAAAATTTTAAAAATTTATAGGAAGGATTTAAAAATCTGAAAAAATATTCAAAAAATACTTTGGTCTTCCCTCTTTAATTTTAACATAAACATTTACATGTTAAAATTTTTTTTATCCATTTGGGGACCTTTTTTCTCCAGGGTATACCACTTTTTTTACCGTTACCTGGGACAACCCTAGGTTTATGTTGCAAAAAAACAGTATAAAAAAAAATTTTAAGTGATTCACGTGCTTGCTTTTTTTTTTTTTTAACAAATAATGCATTAAAATTTAAGTTATACCTGTACTAAATTTGTTTGAAAGTTAAATAATTTTAAAATTACAAACTGAAAATTTTGCACAACAGATCTGCTCCGTGATCTTTGAAAATATGTTTCCAATGTACCAAAGTTCAATTTTAAAGCGATATAGATACTAAGACTATATTTTCGATAAAGCTGAATATGTTTTTAAAATTTTAGTTGTTTGTGATAGCAAAGCCACTGACATCAATTCAGAGTTAAATATTTTAACTGGAAAATAATTTCCATAAAAACTCATTACCTGGTAATAAGGAAACCCCATTTTTCCTATCCACTCAGCGACATCTTGTTTTGTCCAAGAAAGTATTGGCTTTAATCGTTCATCTTCTTTTTCAAAATAAGAGACGTCCATCGAGTTACTGGCAGCTGCTTTGGTTGCCATAGCTATGAATGATGCTACTTTATAAAGTCAACAAGAGTTATTTCCCTTGGTTCTTAAAATACTTGTTTGATTTTTTTTTTTACTTCATATCGTAAAAAAAAAAAAAAAAAAATCAAGTCAGTTTTATTCTGAAGTGAACGGCAAATTTCAAGGGAAGGTAGAATGCGTATTTAAGTTAAATACCTTCTGATTACAACTAAATTCAACAAATATTCTATATTAAGCAAAAAAAGAAAAAAACTTTTTACTTTTTAATTAAACTGCAGATTTCATGTGCAATGTGTACTGGATCGTGATTTTGGGATGAGGAAGGAGGTTTAACTGTAACATGAAATAAACCATGTGGAAAAAAAAAAGAAAAGAAAAAGTATGATGGGTTAATTTACACTACAGTTTAGTACCCGCGCTCAGTTCACTTTAAAAAAAAATTCCAGAACACTTAGATTTTTATGTGTAATTGTATGCTTCATTCGAATCTGGCTTGATAAAAATCGACAGTAAAATTTCGGATTTATTCGCGTTGCTGGCATACATTCGCTACAGAAAGCAAAACGCGGAAGAATGTAGTTTACGGGCTTTATTTATTTATTTCACTGATCTTACTTGTCTCAACTTCTCTTAATTATTGCGTAAGAGAACTGTTTACGTACACACGCTTAATTGTGCGCAATAATCAACACAAGTAAATATTACTCATAGCTATCCGTAGAAAATGTATGTAAAACAACACCAGTAATGGCTGCCGCGACGCGAATGAATCTGAACTTTTACTGTCAATAACTTCCAAAAGCATTGTTTACTCATAAAAACTATTAGACTACTTAAAAATAAAAAAAAGTATACTACATGCTTTGCAGAGTAATCCCCGCGCTCAGTTTCTAACAAAAATATCCCGAATAGTTACATTTAGGTGTAAAATTTACACCTAATTATACACTACATGCTTAATTCGAAAATAACAAAGACATTTTGGTGTAATTTACCGTTCTGGAGTTATCAAATGTGAAAGAAATCAAACTTACATCGTCCATAACTCCTAAACAGTAATAGAGTAATGCCATTTTCAAAATAATCAGGTAAATTTTAGAACATAATTGAACATTTTCATATTACTGTGGGCTTTTGGTGCTTATACTGCAAATTTAACCGGTACACACTTGAAAAATGTCATTTTTTAAACTTATATTTTTCAATTCATCAAATATGTCTTTACAATATAAACTTTTACCAACAGCAATGTAATGAATTGCAAAAATCGCACTGAAAAATTAAAAGAAATTTTTTTTTTCTTTCCAATCTGAAAGAAAATAATGTTTTGCAAGCACCAACTCTCAGAAAATATTTTTTTTTTTTTTTTTTTTTTAGAGTTTTATTAAATTATTCTTGGCAAGATTTGGGACTAATTTTCCATTTGTTCAAACTTGATATTGCATAAATTTTTACTGAAATAACATCTGGTATTTTTCTTTGCATAATAAAAAAAAATTTTTTTTAATTGAACCCCCCGCCAATTAAAAAGTACACATGAAATATCGAAAGTGTCCCCCACATATTTCTACAAAATCTAATAAAATAACCTTTTTAGTATACAATTCATACATTAATGAATAAAGTACTGAAAATTGTTTGACTTGAATATTTCCCTAATTTTTGGCAAATACCATTTTTTTTTTTGGCCATCGTTTTTATAGTTTGGAAAAAAAAAAAAAAAAAAAATCAGATAATTCTAAGATTTTAATGAAACTTTCAGTCAGAACTTGTTCAGAAATTAAATTATTTTTGAAACATTGCTTTTTGTAAAATATTTTTTTATAAACATTTAATTTTTGAAATGGAAAAATTATTTTTTGCATCATTTAATATTTAAAGATAAGTTATTAAACAATTTATAAAAAAAAAAAAAAAAAAAAAATATCAATTTTCTTGGTCAAACTGAACTCTGCTCTAAATCGTAAATTTAAAAAAATTCAATTAAACAAAGAAGTTATTTAAAAAAAGCTTTTAATTACTTTCATGAATATATTATGGACACTATTGTCTTAAATTTTTTTTTATGATGCATAATAGATTTTTACAAGAATTTAAATATTTTTTAAAAACTTAATTAGAATAATTTAAACTTAAATCTTAAAGTTATGTATTAATTTGTAATGGCCAAGTGATATTGCTATTAAATTAAAACTATGTTGAATAATCATAAATCGTAAAGCTCACTACAATTCAATGACCCCCAGTATTTCAAAAAAGTAATTTTGAATCTTTTAGTAGTTAAAAAAAAAAGAAATTCATAATTTTTCTCCAGTTGTCCTCCTTACGTAAATTTCCAAGACACCAGGCTCTCAATAAATCAAACAGCCCCTCCATGTTAAACAATTTTTTTTTTCTGTGATATTTTAAACTAATTGATTTTTTTTCAGTTCAGAGTAATTAAACTTTAAATCAGTTAATTTTTCTTAATGATTTTTTTTTAATAAAAGGAAATTATGCTGCATTTACAGATCTGTCAATATGGACAAATTTATTGATTTTACTGTTGGGGGGGGGGAATAAAAAATTCTATTCAATTCGGTTTGAAATATTTTGCTTATTGGGAATATTTTGTGTAATGTATAGCTTGGAATTAAATCTAAAATTAAAGCGTCAAGAAATTTTATTTTATTTCTTTTAAATGCATTTTAAACTTAAGTGTCACTTTTTGGCGGAGGTACCTAATTATGGGTAAATTTTTTTTTTCTTTATACATATCAGTGTAGGAAAAAATGAAATGGCTGATAGCTATCACCAAAACCCTAATTTCATAATTACCAAGAATGTTAGTTAAGAAAATGGAATGGCTAGTGATAGAAATGCAAGCAAATTTAAGTCTGTTCTCATTGTTAGAATAAAGATAGAAGGTACCAACAGCAATAACATTTTTGCCTTGTGCTTCCAACTCTATTATCTAATATATTTGTATTATAACAAGCTTTCTTGGTTTCAACACTTTGGAAACCATTTTAGTGTGCTATATTGTTTTTCATCTTGAAATCTTAAAATTTCTTTATTTTGGGGTGTATTGAGAAATCCCTAATCAAATATATTTTACAAATTGGTTATTACTTTTTAAAAATGGATTTAAAAAATATATGCAAGTATTGTTATAAAACCAATTTATGAGAGGTTCTCTGAAAAATCGTTATATAAACAGGAGACTTGCTAGATGAAATATTTCAACAGATTAATAAACTTCTTGTGATTCCTGGAATTTGTTTAGATTCTAAATCATTTTTTAGTGATTGGTGAAGGAATTATAATTTAGTTATTAGACATTTATATACATTGTTTTCTTATACATCAAAACGAAATGGTTTCTGATGATTGATATTAAAAGTACACACTTCATGTTCAGGATATTTCCGACAAAAATATATAATATTTAAAGCTTCTTTCATGAAGCTTTAAATACCTTTTATTCCAACAGGTATTTCACTTTTTGAGAGTAGCAAATAGACTAACAATTGCAAAATATAGTCATAGAATTGTGGGGGGGGGGAGCAAAAAAAAAAAAAACAACCCAAACTTTTTGGACTTTTCCAGGTCATTCGTTTGCCTATGAAAAACTTCAGTTAAATACCCTATGTATATGTATTAACATGAGGTCAAGATAAGATAAAGTGTTCTGTATGTTCTATCCTGTTTAATCTATCAGCAAGTTCTGGTAGTAGTGTCTCATGTGAGTGTATTAATAGGGCATCATCAATGTATCAGAAATATGTTGTGCTGACCACCTCATCCAATGTATTCTTAAAAATGCAACATATTTCCAATACATTGACAATGCCCTATTTATACACCAACATGATGTACCACTACCAGAACTTGTTGATAGATAAAACAGGATAGAACATACAATAAATTTCATTATGAAACAGAAACAATATCTCAACCACTATGCACTCAAAGATATTCAACTGAATGTATCAAACCAACAAATAATAATGACCTCATACACTTTTTTTACTCCCACTTTTCCATGTATGCACATTACAAAGGCCTTATATCACCACAGGAATAAGCAGGCACTTTGTTAAATTTCTTAAATTTTTGAATTAAAATAAGTAGTTTATTCAGGAAAAATATTGTTAAAATGACATATGCAGGTTGAGAACATAGGACAACAAGTACAAAAGAAATGAAACTTCATTTTTAAAGTTGTCTTAATAATTCTTGTATGCTTACCATGAAGGAGAACAGATTACAAAATTTAAAACCGTAACAGAAAAGAAAATATTGAAGTACAACAACAGCAGATGGACAATTTTTTTTTTTTTTTAACTCATTTTATTTTTATGAAAAAAAAAAAAAAAAAAAAAGCAATTATGTATATGTGAATTAATATATATTATGTAGGAAATAAAACAAATTTAAGAAAAATAAATGAATATTTACATACAGTCTATGCACACACTAATTGTAAAGGAAGAAAAGCGGTGAATGTAGATGGAGCAGGAATGAAATTTTATGGAAGAAAGAAAAACAGCAAATAGATTAACTTTATCTAATACTGTTCAATGAAGAGTTGAATAAACATTTCTTTGTTTAAAGAATAATGTTCCATGTTGATCTGATGTTCAATGTATAGTAAAGAAAAAATAAATAAATATAAAGAATATTGAATAGAATTTTTTTTACACTAGTAAAAAAAAAGGGGGGGGGGAAAGAATGAGTCAAACATGAAGAAAGTGTTGAAAAATGATAGATGGAAATAAGAATTGTCCTGAAATTAACATCTGGATTTAGTTTTGAAACTGAAAAAAAAAAAAAAAAAAAATTTTTTTTTTGTTTAAAAACTCCTGTTATAATTGGTCAATGCAGTAAGTTCTTTTTGCCTCCTCTCCAAGAAAACTGATAAAATATCCCTACCAAGTGTCCATATAAAGAAGGTTTGTTTGGTTTGACTAAAGTTTTGTAAATACTAGATTTTAAGAGATTAAGCACCGGGTTCTTGTAAATTTATTGCT